AAATGGCATCTGTGATGGCCACAAAGATTCCTTCCTTCCTTCCCACCTAAATTTAGATTTTTACTAACTTTACTAAGTTCGGAGAACATCGTTTTGCACAGCAATTTGTGCCAGTAACAAGCAGCGGGAATGCTCAGTAATGCTCTCGGGAGCCGGGCGCGCCCACACACACCCCAGAACCACTTCGCGGACAGAAGTTGGGCACTCAATCAATGCCTGGTCCAAGTCAGAACCCAGGGTTCAGACTTTTTCCCAGGACGGGCCTCACACCCTGAAAATGCTGGGGGCGGGCCCTGCGCTGCAGTAAGGCGCCGCCCGCCGCTGCAAAGGTAGATCTGGGGGGGACAACTGCAGGACCTCAGGAAGGCTCGCGGCACTTTGCTCGCCTCCCAGTAGTCGTCGTTTCCCGCAAGACCCTAACCCTCAGATTTAAAAAAAAAAAAAAATATCCAGTGGTGCAAAGTGACAACTGAATGACATTTGTAGCCGAGTAGTGGCTGCGTGGCGAAATTACGCCCGCTTGTTGCTAACACTGTCACCACACTGCTCGGCTCCCTGATCTCATTCGCTTCCTAAATAGGAGTTTCTGGGCTGGCGGGAGCCCCGAGTGCGCCAAGGGCCCGGAGACTGTCTCGGGCTCTGCGCCTCCGCCCCGGGGTGGAGTGTCATTCTCGAAACGGGATCCTTTGACTTAAAAGGGGGCTAGAAGCTACCGGTGGACAGGATCCCTTGATGGCAGGGCCACAGGCACGGGAGGGGACGGGCGCCTGGTGGCTTCTGGCTGAGCGGGGGTTGGGGGAGGTGGGGATCCCTGGGACAGGGGAGAGTTGCCCCCGAAGGCGCCACAAGGGCACTGGCTGGGGGGGGGGAGGGCCCAGGCACCACGAGGACGTCTCCACCCCACAGGGCCGGAGCAGAAGCTCTCCGAGGGCGCCGAGCTGAGTCCGAACTCCTGTCCCCGCCGCCTGGTCTGGCGCGCCCAGGGGCGCCGAGGGGCGCGCCCAGGCAGGGCCCCGGGAGCGACCCGAAGCCATGTGGCCGGCTCCCGAGTCCAGCCGGTGCGGAGCCACTTACCAAGTCGCGCGCCGCGGCGGAAAGGGGAAGGCGCCTGAGAGATCAAGTTTAAAAGAGTCTGGGCCGTCAGCACGCGGGCGGCAGCCAACCAAAAAGTCGCCCAAGCGCCCCTCCCGCCCCGGCTCCCGCCCCGCCAGCGCGCCCAGAGGCCCTCGCGCGCCCCCTGCCAGCTGCAAGGACGGGGCCTGCCCCGTCCTGTCCTCCTCGGCCCTGGTATCCCCTGCCCCGCCTTACCCTGTCCTGCCGGGTGCCTGGAAATCCCACCACCCCTGGGCTGCATGCTTAGAACGATGGACAAGGGCTGCAAATGTCTTGTCCCCAAAGCACCTCTGTGTCACCTCTGTGTCACTGGTGGGGGACAGGGGAGTATCTTGACTGCAGTAAAACATACAGTTCCATTGGCTGGCTGGGTATGCAGCGCTGTACACAGAACATAGGTTTTATGGATTGAGTTGTACACCCTACATGGGTTAAAGTCCAAACCTCCAGCACCTGTGAAGGTGACCTAATTTGGAAACAGTGGTGCAAAGTGGCAACTGTAGTAGATGAAGTCAAGATGAGGTCATTGGGGTGGACCCTCATAATTCAACATAACTCGTGTCCTTATCACATGGTGTCAAACGCCATGTGAAGACAGAGGCACATAGGGAGGGTATGTAAGGACAGGGGCAGAGATTGGAGTGATGCAGCTGTAAGCTCAGGAATGCCAAGGATTGTCAGCCCCCACCAGAAACTAGGAAGAGACAAGGAAGGATTCTCCCCTACAGGTTTCAGAGAGAGCTTGGTTCCGCTGATACCTCGATTTTTGGACTTGAGCTACAAGAACTGTGAGACAATACATTTCTGTTGTTTGAAGTCACAAAATATTTTGTTAAGGCATCCCGAGGAAGCTAATATAATGACTGTGGGACCTGCGCAGAGGGAGGAGCCAACCCAGCCTTCTAGAAGTTAAGATGGGCATTTCCTATAAGCCCTGTGAGGGGGAGCTTGTTTCCTGTGTTTACTGCTGTTTTCTGCCTAGTGTACCTGCTGGCACTTAACAGGCTCTCAGTAGATATTTGCTGAATTAATGGCTGTCTTCATGCCGTGCAGTGTAGCAGGCAGTGAGTATGGTTGAGCATCATAGTCATGCATACCCCATATTTAGGGACTCTTTCATTAGGCATGTATAAACTTCAAAGGTGTGAATTTGCATGTTCAAGGCCTCATGCTAACATTACTCAAAGGGTTATCTTCTATTCTAGTGCATGCATTCTCTGGAAGCAAAGCTGAGTGGGGGTTAGGTATGGGAGGTATGAGGCCAACAGCAGCAGTCTTAGAACCCAAATGTTCCATACCCTCCCCAAGGTGGTCTGCGAGCCCCAGAAGCACTGCTGGCAGGACCTGCGGTCATAGCCCTACTCTTACATTTGCTTCTAATCATCATCTGCCCCTGAAATTTTGAGATTTGGGGCTTTCCAGGAACTGGAGCACTTGAGATCATTTTAGTTAGAGGGACTGCTCGGTGCAACAAATATTTGAGTGCCTATTTTGTGTGGTGCACTGTAATTGGTGCTGGGCAGGGGGCGGGAGGAGTGAAGTCCAATGAGAAACTGCCCCTGCCCTAAGTGAGGAATATAAAGTGAGATCCACTTGGTGATAGAAGTCTACGCAGGGTGCCAAGGGCCACAGAGCCTGGCCTGCTAAGCATGCAGGGAAGGCTTCCTGAAGGAGGGGCTACCTATGTTGAGTCTAGCATTACCTGCAGGAAACTGACAGTACGTGAAATTTAGGAGAGCAAAGAAGTAAAGAGGCCAAGAGAGTTAATGAAAAATCATAGGATAGTAGAATAGAAGAGACTTTAAAGATCATCCAGGATTTTCTCTGTTGGAGTGCAGCTGGCCTTAGGGCATTCTCCAAAAGCATTTATCATGATGGTAGAATGTAAGTAAGCTCCATGGGAACTCTGTTTCCTTCTTGACTGAATCCCCAGAATCCAGCATAATGCCTGGGAAGTGGCTCCAGGGAAAGAGATTCAATATTTATCCTCCAAAGTAGTTGAGTATTTATGCCATAGACTTTTCAAGACTTGTAATGGGTTAGTGGTGGGGTCTTATCCCTGGCTGTAGCTTCCTTGGGTCACCTCAAGTGTGAATTTATCCCTATTTTCCCAGTACCCGGGCTAGGGCTTTGTACATTGTAAATGCTCAACAAAAGCTGCTAAATTGCCTTTCTTGGTGTCTATTTGACTCACCTTTCACATTTGCAATGAACTACAGGCAGTCCCCTGCTTAAAATGGCTCAACTTCGATTTTTCAGCTTTATGATGGTGCAGAAGCAATATGTGTTCAGTAGAAAGTGTGCTTCAAGTAACCTAATCCTTCTCTTTTTCACTTTTAGTATAGTATTAAATAAATGACATGAGATATCCAACACTTTATTATAAATAAGGTTTGTATGAGGTGATTTTGTCAAACTGTAGGCTCACGTAAGTGCTCTGAGCACATTTAAGGAAGACTAGGCTAAGCTATGATGTTTGGTAGGCTAGGTGTATGAAATGCATTTTTGACTTACCATATTTTTAACTTACGATGGGTTTACCCCCCATAACCCCAGAGTAAGTTGAGGGGCATCTGTACTTGTAGAGTAGGAATCCCAGGGCATTGGAATATGTTGGCACCTCTCTGGCTAGCTTTGCTGCTCTTTGAGGGGAGCCTTTTCCCCCAACCCTGTGTTTTTCAGTGGAAAAATTTCTTCCAGGTAATGCCCTGGGCCTCTTACCCATTCTTTCCTCATTCCTTTCCAGAGAAGGAAGGAATTTCAATAAAATCCTGTGCTATGTCAATGTTGAGAGCATGCAAACTGAGGTAGTCCTGTGGGCTTCCATCCCCTGCTCATCCCCTGTTCTCAATGGGATGTTTAACTTCTCTGATGGGGCACAGGGAACCAATGGGCTAAGTGCCCACTTAGAAGCCATTGAGGGTGTTTTCAATTCAGTGTACAGTCAATTGGGTACATTAGTAGTGTCACTACCTTAACTTTTGCACTTTTTATGGTCCAAACTGAATGAAAAATAGTGTATCTCATAAACCCTGTAATAACTTGACCCTGCATTTTACTCAGTTTAGATTTTTGGCTCTCACTTATGTCCGGTGACATCCACTGGCTCATCCTTCTCAAAGAAGACCAGATCTATTCGAAGGCTGTAAGCTATGAGGATTCCCGCCCTCTTTCTTCCCTCACTACCCAGGGCCAGTGTGAGGCAATGGTGGGCCAAGGTCTAGACTGGGATGGGGAGTAGATGGTCTCAGCTCTTAAGACATAATATGAACAGTAATAAAGTTAATACTTGAACTTCCTTTCTGTGTCTTATGTATGAGTTGGTTCTGAAATATGAAAGGAGGAGTGGGGGCGGGGGATGGGTGGGTGGGGAGAAGCACATTATTTTTCTCCTTCCCCAAATCCTACAGTTGCCTGATTCTTATCCCAGGGAGGATCTGAGACTCCCATGTTCTCAATGGACTAACATCAGACACGGATCTAGGACATTTGCTCTTATGAATTAATTGGCCCATTGATTTATTATTGTGTCTGTATTTAGTGCACATTTTAGTGGGTTGATGCAGTGTAGTGTCAGAATATAAAACAACTGCAGGCATTATTTATAATTTAAATGATCACTCTAGTCGGGTAACATTTTAATTGGGGTCACTGGGCTGTTTGCCATGTGCAGGCCTCTGCCCAACAGCTTGCCTTTTCCAAGCAGCTGTAGGCTTGTTTTCAAGCCAAGAGAGAATGTCTGCCCTCGCTGGAGCATATTGGTTTCATCTGCCTGAATAAATCCATGTGGCTGATTTCAGCAATTAGAGGGTGTACATGTGAGTATCCTGCAACCCCTAGGATATGGATGCTCTTGTTTGTGATCTCTGAATGGATATAAAATAGCCTATCTTTTAAAAATCCCCTCACAGCTTTGTTATTTACAAACCTGAGCATTTGTTGTTCACAATACTAGAAAGTATATGGATAGAGTGTAAAACAGAATTGTTGCATATTCAATATATCAAATATATCACCTTTATTGGTAAGAATGATTAAGTTTGTTGTAAAACAAATAGAGTAAAAACATTTCTAACTCCACATCCTTCTGCAAGTAATCCCTAATTTCTTGTTTCTCTTTAGAGCAAAAATCCTCAAGAGTTGTCTGTATTTGTCTCCAATTCTTGCCCTCCACTGTCTTCTGAACCCAATCAGGTGGGGCATCTCCTGGTATTCAGGCCCTTGTATAATCCCTTCCACTGCAGTGTGGGCTACAGAGCAAAAGTGATGGAATGGCATGTGAGAAGATGCTAAGCATCATATGCCATTAAAAAATTATAAACCACAACAACACTGAGATACCACTGCACACCTATCAGAATGGCTAAAATCCAAAACACTGGTGATTCCAAATGTTTGTGACCATGTGGAGCAACAGGAACTCCCATTCACTGGTGGGAATGCACAATGGTACAGCCTCTTTGGTAAAGAGCAGTTGAGCAGTTTCTCACAAAACCAAACATACTCTTACCTAAGATCCAGCAATCACGCCTCTTGGTGTTTACCAAAGGAGTTGAAAACTTGTGTCCACACAGAAACCTGGACATGAGTGTTTATATCAGCTTGCTCATAATTGCCGAAACTTGGAAATAGCCAAGATGTCCTTCGGTAGGTGAATGGATATCCAAACAATGGGACATTATTCAGGGGACTGAGCCATCAAGCCACGAAAAGACATGGAGGAAACTTAAATGCCTGTTGTTAAGTGAAAGAAGCCAGACTGAAAAGGCTACAACGATGAATATATGACAACCTGGAAAAGGTAAATCTATGGGGACAGTGAAAAGATCAGTGGTTGCCAGCAGTTTGGGGGAGGGAGGGAAGAATAAATGGAGCAGGGGATTTTTAGAGCTGTGAAACTATGCTGTATGACACTGTAAGAGTGGATGCATGTCATTATACAGTTGTCAAAACCCACAGAATGTACAACACAGAGTGAACCCTAATGTAAACTATGAACTTTGGT